CATTGTATTATTATATATGGATCTTGTCTGATGTTTCTACCTATGTTTCATTTACCTTATAACATGTCAATCTTACGATATTGTCATTTTTGCATGCCGTCCATCTTTGATTGTCGATTTTGTTGTATTATTATATATGGATCTTGTCTGATGTTTCTACCTCTGTTTCATTTACCTTATAACATGTCAATCTTACGATATTGTCATGTTTACATGCCGCCCATCTTTCATTGTTTTGTAATATTATTCTATGTAACCTAGATCTTGTCTGATTGTAAAAATTCTGTTACAATTATTTTGCACATTGTTTATTACTTTTGTTGGTGTGATTTGTCTCTTGTTGGGCACGACACTGGAACTAGTGCGCGTTTTCTATCCTGCTTGGATAGGTGTCTGTGATAGACTGTGTATAGAATATTTTTGAAATTGCCCTCCGTCCACCCCATCGGCCATCCTAGTTGTGGATGTTTTGTTTGTTTGCCATTGCTTATGGTGGTTTACTGTTGGTCAGTGCCTTCTTTTATCATGGTTGCCTTTTGTATGTCTGCAAAATATACTTTATGTAGGCAGAAATGTGAACCAGTGGCTGCCAGGCAGGATACGCCCACATTTTCGACAGATGGAAAGAAAGTGATTTTTCCTGCAATCAAGGGCTATAATTCAGGAAATTACAATTCGTTATGCGCGAATATTGAAAGGAACCGAGATCTTTGGGTTATAAACTTACAATTTAAGTTTCATCAAAATCGGATAAAAATTGCGACCTCTATAGGGTCCTCAACCTTGATATACCATATTTTTACGCTATTTGAGAACGAAGGGCGGCCATTTTGTCTGTCAGTTTTGGGCCGATTTTCACGAAATTCGAACTCAGTCGTCCTTAGGGTGTAACGGTGAAATAATAATACTTTTTGTTTAAATCGGATAGAAATTATGACCTCTATAGGGTCCACAAGCTAAAAACGTGACTTTTTGTACAATCAGGGGCCATAATTCAGGAAGTTAAGATGCGATATGCGCGAATATCAAAAGGAACCGAGATGTTTGGGTTATAAACTTAAATGTCAAGTTTCAACAAAATCGGATAAAAATTGTGACCTCTATAGGGTCCACAACCGTGATATACCATATTTTTATGCTATTTGAGAAAGAACGATGGCCATTTTGTCTGTCAGTTTTGGGCCGATTTTCACGAAATTCGAACTCAGCCGTCCTTAGGGTGTAACGGTGATATAATAATACGTTTTTTTAAATCGGATAATAATCATGACCTTTATAGGGTCCACAAGCTAAAAACACAATTTTTCGTACAATCTGGGGCCATAATTCAGGAAGTTACGTTCCAATATCGAAAGGAACCGAGATCTGTGGGTTATAAACTTACATTTCAAGTTTCAACAAAATCGGATAAAAATTGTGACCTCTATATGGTCCACAACCGTGATATACCATATTTTTATGCTATACTATTCAAAAAAAGTAGGGGATATTTGATTTTTAAGTGTTATTAAAGTCACCTAATGAAACTGACGAAGAAACAAATGACAAAATGAAATGAAGTTCACATTCATCGATTTATTCCAAATGATCGTTAGACTAAGTAAGGCACAGACTGACCATTATAAGGGTAAAATGATACCCGGGGTCAAACAGCAAAGTTACCACAGCATCACAACCAAGTCAGTAACGGGTAAATCCTCCTCTGTTTGCCAAACAAGCATTGATCCGACGTGGCATACTCCTAATGAGACGTCTAAGGTCATTTTGGTCCAGATTGTCCCATTCCTGTTGCAACGCAGCAGCAAGTTCTTGGACATTGGCAGGACGTTGTTGACGTTGACGTAACCTCTGTCCAAGCATGTCCCAGACATGCTCGATGGGGGAGAGGTCGGGACTCAGTGCTGGCCAAGGTAATGTGGTGATGTTCTGTTGTTGGAGGTAACCTGTAACGATCCTGGCCCTGTGACATCTTGCGTTGTCATCCTGGAAGATGAAACGGCGGCCATGACGTCGTGCGAACGGCACAACATGGACTGCCAAGATGTTGTCCCGGTAGTACTGGCCTGTAACACGCCCTGCAACAACATGTAAAGCCGTTCTTCCAGCAACAGTGATGCCTCCCCACACCATAACAGAACCACCCCCAAATCGATCATGTCTGATGACGTTAACGTCTTGGAAGCGCTCGTTTCGACGACGCCACACCCTCCTACGTCTGTCCAAAATATCAACAGTGAACCTTGACTCATCTGAAAACATCACATTGCTCCAGCGTCGATTATCCCAGTGTTGACGATCCCTACACCAACGACGTCTTGCCTGAATGTGATGATCTCTCAAACAAGGGATCACGCGAGGACGTCGGGCGCGAAGGTGACCCCTATGCAGTCGATTCCGAATCGTCTGGCCACTCACTCTCACACCAGTGTCTGTTTGAAGACGAGCGCTGATCTGATTTGCTGTGATGACACGATTTCTCAAGGCCAAGGTACGGATAAATCGATCCTGGGCTTGAGTTGTCGCCCTTGGTCGACCTGAGCGTGGTCTGTCCTGTACAGATTGTGTATCACGGTATCTGGACCATAGCCTGCTTATGACAGACTGAGAAACATTCATCGTCCGCGCCACAACCGCCTGTGTTGTGCCGATCTGTAGCATGCCAAGGGCACGTAACCTTTCATTTTGGGTAAGCCGACGCATATCAAAATTTGTTTTCTGGTCACTAAAACAATTAAACTGATGTTTCCACCCTGGAATTCAATGCCACAATGACTGTAACATTCAAAGTCAGAGTCGTGCAAATCTTGGGTAGGACCCCCATGATGATCCCAAGCATCACCTGCATTCCATGCGGTAGCTATTGGTGCGTTTGGGCGTCACATGTAACTGGAAATGTTTCTTCTGTTAGGTTCTATAGTGACTTTTTTCGTAGTCATTTGCATATTTTAGTATTATGCCCCCAAAATCAAATATCCCCTACTTTTTTTGAATAGTATATTTGAGAACGAACGGCGGCCTTTTTGTCTGTCAGTTTTGGGCCGATTTTCACGAAATTCGAACTCAGTCGTCCTTAGGTTGTAACGGTTGATATAATAATACAGTTTTTTAAATTGGATAAAAATTATGAAAACGAGCTAAAAACGTGATTTTTCGTAAAATCAGAGGCCATAATTCAAGAAGTTACTTTCAGATATGTGCGAATATCGAAAGGAACCGAGATCTTTGGGTTATAAGCATACATTTCAAGTTTAAATCAAATCGGATAAAAATTGTGACCTCTACGGTGTTCACAAGCTAAAAACGTGATTTTTTGTACAATCAGGGGCCATAATCCATGAAGTTACAGTCCGATACATGCCAATATCGAAAGGAACCGAGAGATTAGGGTGATAAACCTATATTTCAAATTTCATTGAAATCGGATAAAAATTGTGACCTGTAGACTGTTCACAAACAATTGTGGACGGACGTCCGGACAGACAGGGGCGATGACAATATACGTCCACATGAAAATGTGGGCGTATAAAAATGCTAACTATATAGAAAGGTACTGGTAGTAAATCGCATGATCCGAAAAAACGCTATTTATTTGACTTAGTTAATGGGCATTTTTTGAGACAGCACTAATATTGTATAGTTTAATTTAGTATTCTTGTATTGCCAGGCAACAAAACATACGCCCACAGCAGCTAAATCGTCCGAGCAGTCGTCAAGGGTTGTCGCATATTTATTCCTTTGTAGGTAATTGGGAGCCTTTACAAGACAGTTCCATACAGATCAGATTATAAATTTTGTCGTTTGAGGGTTTACAAGGTTCTACAAACTGAAAAAAGGGTCTCAACTCTGGAACAAATTGTTGAAATTTGACAGGCTTTTTCGGTTTACTAATTCAAATAATGCATATAAAATTTCATACAGATCACATTTGTCATTCAAACGTTCACAATCGCCATAACTCTAGAAATTATTGACGGAAATTGCTGAAATTCAATAGACCTGTTTCACAAATTTAAATGATGCATATAAATTTCATACATATCGGATGATAACTATCATCAATCGAGCATTAACAAGGTTTAACAAAGTGAAACAAGAGCAATAACTCTAGAAGTAATTATTGTAAATTACTGAAATTCACTAGGCTTTTTCATTTCACTAATTTAAATCATGCATATAAATTTCACAAAGATCGGGTGATAAATTTTTGCGTTAGTAGAGCGTTCACAAGGATCAATAAACTGAAACAAGGGCCATAACTCTAGACGTAATAAACGGAAATTGCTGAAATTCAATAGGTTTCTTCGTTTCAGTAATCTAAATAATGCATATAAATTTCACAAAGATCGAATGATAACTTTTGGCGTTAGAGCGTTCACATGGTTCAATAAAGTGAAACAAGGGCCATAACTCTAGACGTAATAAACGGAAATTGCTGAAATTCAATAGGCTTCTTCGTTTCACTAATTTAAATAATGCATGTAAATTTCAGAAAGATCGGATGATAATTTTTGGCGTTCACAAGAAATTGTGGACGATGGACGGACGGACGGACTGACGGCAATATACGTCCACATTTTAAAGTGCGCGTATAAAAACGAGTTTGCAAGGGTAAATTGAACTTGTAGCTATAAAAACGACCTATAGAACAACACAAACTTTTTCCGACATTTTTTTTTCTTTTTTATTCCTCCGTTAATGGTTGTTGCTGTCGATTACAATTATAACATCCAATACATTATTGATGATAATATGGATAGGTTGAGACAGTATTGGAACATCTGGATGCTTAAATAATTGTTACTTTGTTATTATTTTTATGTTTAGTCATTAAAATAAATTAAAAACAAAACAACCTTATTTTTATATTCAGGGCAGGTGTATTTTTCTGTAGGGCTAGCAAATTTTGTCATGACACCTGCCCATGGGCTAGTGTTTCAAAAGTGAAATTGTGCACCCCTGCTAGTAAAGGAATCTATAATTTCTTACCAAATATTACTTACCAAATATTCAAAGACTAGTGTAAGAGATTTATCTGTATGTATTATATCATGTAATGTCACAATGTTAGCATGTTTCAGGTCTCGTAATAATGATACTAAAATATAAAATCAAAATAGATAAGCTGAAATTTGATGACAATAAAATAAATTTAATAAAAATGTAATGGATACTCAAGAGAGAGAGAGAGAGAGAGAGAGAGAGAGAGAGAGAGAGAGAGAGAGATTTAGAAGAATAACTATACAATAACAACCTTTTTAACTAGAAACAACAGTATGGTGATTGGTTAATCAAATATCTGACATCATAGGTCAAAAGCCGCTCGTCATGAACTCTGACGCGACCCCGCCAAAACAACTGATCAGATCTTCATGTAGTGTAGGCCATCGAAAGTATAAAGATAGGTTGCCAGGCAACAAAACATACGGCCACAGCAGCTAAATCGTCCGGGCAGTCAACAAGTTTTGTCGTATATTACTTTCTTTATTCGGTAATAAAACATATATAATACACTAAAATCTGATTAAGAGTAACAACTCATGAAATAATTATAAGAAAACCATTAGAATTTGTTTGGTTTTTATAAAGTTCTGCACCATGCTAATGTTTAGTATACAAAACTATTAATATCATGGGTTAAGCTGTTCAAGATATACAAATAAATTGAAAATCAATATACTTGTTCGTCTCAAGATCTTAAACTCGGATGATAACTTTAGCCTCTAGAGCGTCACAAGATTTTTCAAAGTGATCAAGGGCCATAACTCTGGCAGTAATCATCGAAAATCGCTGAAAATCAATAGGCTTCTGAGTCTCATGGCCTTAAATACTGTATATAAATTTAAAGTCAATCGGATATTAACTTTAGCCTCTAGAGCGTCCACAAGCAATTGTGGACACCGGACTGACAGACCGAAGGATGGACGGGGGCGACAACAATATACGACCACATTTCAATGTGGGCATATAAAAAACGAAACGTAATATAGATCTGTATTTTAATCAGATTGGGTTTAAATTTTGGTGGCGTGCATGTTGAATTTTATATAACAGGATATGTTGTAAACTAATATGAAACTATATATTAAATAATGTAAATCACAACATACCCTCTCTAATAGCGGTACATGGAGCACCCTCTTCATGCTCCAGACGTATTTCTTTCAAAGCTACTAAATTATCTGTTAGACGGGATTTTCCTTTAAATACTGTTGCATACGTTCCCTTTAATAAATCATAATACACATGTTATAGACCTAGTGGGAAATAACACAACTTGGCTATGAAAAATCCTTCTCAATGACTATAGAACTTTTGGGTCAGAAGTTCATATTTGTCTCATCCTATTCCAAGGATACATGTACATCCAAAATCTGTGAAATGACAAGTGCCGAAAACAACCTCCATCTTATGCCAAGGATACATGTACATTCAATATCTATGAAATGACAAGTGCCGAAAACAACCTTCACGATTTTTCAGGCAAGCTTTACTTGTCAGGGGTAATGTCTGCACGGCTACCGAGAAAAACAAGCTTAGTCAATCGGATGGAGCAAAAAATCAAGGTCTACCTACTTAAAAACTCACGTGCAAGTAAAGCAACCATTGCAACTTTAAATCCCGCTGTCTAGTAAATTCTTCTATCTCGCAATGCACACATAACCATCAAAATAAAGATAAGTTGCCAGGCAACGAAACATACGCCCACAGCAGCTAAGTCGTCCGAGCAGTCAACAAGGCTTGTCGCATATTTTTTCTATTGTCGGTAATGAAACATTTATAATACACTAAAATCTGATTAAGAGCAACAACTCATTAAGTAATTATCCGAAAATCATTAGAAATTGTTTAGCTTTTAATTCTGCCCCATGCTAACGTTTAGTATATGAAACATTTAACATCATGGATTTAGCTGTTCAAGTTATCAAAATTCATTGAAAATCAATATACTTGTTCGTCTCAAAACCTTAAACTCTGTTTATCAATCTGAAATCAATCTGATAATAACTTTGGTCTCTAGAGCATCCACCAAATTTTTCAAAGTGATCCAGGGTAATAACTCGGGCAGTAATTGGATATTAACTTTAGCCATTAGAGGGTCTACAAAGATTTTTCAAAGAGATCAAGGGCCATAACTCTGGCAGTAATTATCGGATATCGTTGAAAATTAACAGGCCTCTGCGTGTCATGACCTTAAACACTGTGTATAAATTTTAAGTCAATCGGATATTAACTTCAGCCTCTAGAGAGTCCACAAGATTTTTCATTGTGATCAAGGGCCATAACTCTGGCAGTAATTATCACAAATTGTTGAAAATCAATAGGCTTCTTCGTCTCATGACCTTAAACACTGTGTATAAATTTAAAGTCAATTGAATATTAACTTTAGCATCTAGAGCGTCCACAAGATTTTTCAAAGTGATCAAGAGCCATAACTCTGGCAGTAATTATCAGAAATCGTTGAAAATCAATAGGCTTCTTTGTCTCACGGCCTTAAACACTGTGTTAAAATTTAAAGTAGATTTAAAGTAATTGTTGACGCCGGATGCGACCGACCAACGGACGGAGGGGGATGACAATATACGACCACATTTCAATGTGGGTGTATAAAAAGGGCTTTATATTTGTCTCATCATGGAACTAATGTATGATACATCTTTAATTCAATAATTCGCTTCAGCATAGGGATCTTTAGCAGTGGGAGGAAACCAGAGGTCCTGATGAAATCCATGACTATGCCTAAACTGATCAACAGAACATGGAACAATTAATACATGAATACAGCACACACATGTCATACTGTTAGCCAGTCAACCCACCATAAAATAAAATCAATGGCAAGTGGTATTAGCTGTACTGGAAATAATGACATACCCAGCCTCATTGACAACAACTATTACATAGACTTTATGGCAATAACTGTCAAATTAAAACAAGATTGCAATTTACATTTGTTGATGTTTTTAAAATTTTTTACACTATACTGAGCGCCATGGAAAACGCATCACTTTTTTTTCCCAAATATTTTATTACTAGGTGTTTTTGTATGTATAATATTATGCAATACTATGAATTAATATTTCACACAATGCTCCCAAACGGCCGTGTGCACAAAAAAAAATTGCATGAGATGCACATGAAAAACCCAATATTCACGTGCAGCATTGTGTGTGAGCCCTTTAAAAGCATGTTTTCAACCTAATGTGCAGTACATGAACTGTGAAATGTCAATCTGTCGTAATTTGTTGTTGGACGTGTGAAGGAATCGAGCTAGAGATGCCGAGACTTACTGAAAATCAACGGAATGAAGCCATGGGAATATCCAGGGCTGGCATGTCTACACGTGCCATTGCCAGACACTTCAATTTTCATCAGTCCACTATTGTAAGGTTGGTGGAACGTGTTCGAGTTACTGGATCAACACGTGACCGTCAACGTCCTGGCCAACAAAACGTTACAACCCAGGCTCAAGACCGCTACATCCACTCACTCATCTGCGTGACAGATTCCGCCCAGCGACTCAAACAGGTGCAGCAGTCGTCGGAAGACAAGGACCAGTAAGTGCCAACACCGTAAGATGTCGTCTAAGAGAAGTAGGACTCCGTGCACGACGACCTTATGTTGGACCTATCCTCAGGGATCATCACCGTCAGCGGCGTTTGATATGGGCTCAAGGACACCAGACATGCAGAAGAGTAGACTGGCAAAGTGTGCTCTTCAGTGATGAGAGTTGCTTTCATCTTTATCACGCTGATGGCCGTCAACGTGTGTGGAGACGTCTTGGGGAATGTCTTGCAGACTGCTGCATCTTCTTTACGAATCGATGGGGTGGGGGAAGTGTAATAGTGTGGGGAGGCTTCACATTTCATCACCGGACCGCCCTACACATTTGCAGGGGTCGCGTTAATGCTGTAGCCTACCGTGATGATGGCCCGTGGAGGACACACGCGCCACTGACATCTGTGTCATACTTTTGGTTTTGACCCCTCTGACTTTGTACCCTTGATTACAGATTAAACATCCATAAGTGTACAAATGTGTTGTTATTGATGTGTTCCCATTTGAATATTGTTCACAATAAGAAGCAAAATAAATAAGATATGTTTACAGGATCATTTTCTTATACGAAAAACTAAGTGATGCTTTTTCCATGGCGCTCAGTATATATTGTATTCTAACCTACATGTATTTTCTAAACTTAATTTTTACGACTGGAGCTCGGATCCATTCACTTAATTTGATATATACCTTTGTTGTTTATTGTTTCAAATATCTGTGTATATCTGTGTATATTGTTTGTCTTATCCAAGGGGGATGTCTTGTGTAATTGTTTGGTGCAGTCCTTCCTCAATTACTTTGCAAAAGAATATGCAAGATAAAATGTGATTGTAATAAGATCGTGGAGAAAACAATTCCTCTGATAGGCCTGATACAATTTAGAATGCAAGAGAAAAGATGTAACTAGATCTTAAATTAGAATATATACTTACTTCTCCTAGTTTATCTAGTTTAGTGTAAGATTCTAATTTACCAAATCCAATTTCAGACTGAAAGTAAAATATGTGATGTAAAAATTGAAGATAAATTTAAAGAAAATAGCTTTACAAGACTAATATATCATCCCAGGGGCGGGAAGGGTGAGGTTGGTGGCAAGGTTGATGTGAAAGGGTGAGGATGATATTGGTGATGGATGCACCTTCATAATTCCCTTTTTAAAGATAGGTTGCCAGGCAACAAAACATACGCCCACAGCAGCTAAATCATCCGAGCAGTCGACAAGGGTTGTCGCATATTTCTTCTTTTGTAGGTGAAATGAAATGAAATGAAATGGGGTTTAACGTCCTACTGTTCTGCTCCTATACTGGGCTAATGAAGACGGGCATACGCCATACAGTGTGCTATGAGGGAAATTTTGCCCGGACAGCGGCACTACGGCCTACTCTTATATTGAATTCCAACTGCCAAGGGATCTTTTACGTGCACGCCAATGTGTACACGGGACCTCGGTTTTTCGTCCCATCCGAACGACTAGACAGCTTTCCTTGTCAGCCCCTCCGTCCTGCATCACTGACAAGGGAGAACCACGCCGGAAAATCGGGATGAACTTTCTCGGCCAATGCAGGGATCGAACACCCGACCTCCAGGCTAGCGAGCTAGCGTCTTACCCACTTAGCCACGTGATCCCCTCTTTTGTAGGTAATTAGGGGCATTTAATAGAGAATTTCATACAGATGACATTATAATTTTCATCGTTTGAGGGTTTACAAGGTTCTAAAGATAGGTTGCCAGGCAACAAAACATACACCTACAGCAGCTAAATCGCCCGAGCAGTCGACAAGGGTTGTCGCATATTTATTCTTTTGTAGGTAATTAGGGGAATTTAATAGACAATTTCATACAGATGACATTATAATTTTCATCGTTTGAGGGTTCACAAGGTTCTAAAAACTAAAACAAGGGCCGTAACTCTGGAAGTAATCTACTGAAATTGTTGAAATTCAACAGGCTTTTTCGTTTTACTAATTCAAATAATGCATATAAATTTCATAAAGATCGGATGATAACTTTTGTCGTTCGAACGTTCACAAGGAAAAACATGGTGAAACAAGGGCCATAACTCATGGCGTAATTAACGGAAATTGCTGAAATTCAATAGGATTCTTCGTTTCACTAATTCAAATGATGCATATCAATTTCAAACAGATTGGATGATAACTGTTGTCATTAGAGCGTTCACAAGATTCAACAAAGTGAAACAAGGGCCATAACTCTAGATGTAATTAACGGAAATTGATGAAATTCAATAGTCTTCTTTGTTTACTAATTTGAATGATGCATATAAATTTCATACAGATCGGATGATGACTGTTGTCGTTCGAACGTTCACAAGGTACAACAAAGTGAAACAAGGGCCATAACTCACGGCGTAATTAACAGAAATTACTGAATTTCAATAGGCTTCTTCGTTTCACTAATTTAAATGATGCATGTCAATTTCAAACAGATCGGATGATAACTGTTGTCATTAGAGCGTTCACAAGATTCAACAAAGTGAAACAACGGCCATAACTCTAGATGTAATTAACAGAAATTGCTGAAATTCAATAGGATTCTTCGTTTCACTAATTTTAATAATTCATATAAATTTCAAACAGATCAGATGATAACTGTTGTCATTAGAGCATTCACAAAATTCAACAACGTGAAATAAGGGACATAACTGTAGATGTAATTAACGGAAATTGCTGAAATTCAATAGGCTTCTTTGTTTTACTAATTTAAATGATGCATATAAATTTCACAAAGATAGGATGTTAACTTGTGGCATAAGAGCATTCACAAGCTTCAATAAAGTGAAACAAGGGCCATAACTCTAGACGTAATAAACGGAAATAATAGAAATTAAACAGGCTTCTTCATCTGACTAATTATATGTAAACAACATATATCAATTTTAAAACAACTGGATGATAACTTTTGGCATTAGAACGTTCACAAGAAATTGTGGACGATGGACGGACGGACCGACGGAGTGGGGCAACGGCAATATACGCCCACATAGAGTAAGTATGAAAAGTTTTCAAAATAATTGATTAAGAATTGCGGCCTGTAGGCGACATGTAGACACAAAAAGAAAATGGACGTGGTTATGACCCAGGGGGTTGGGCATGCACCACAAACGATAGGGATGTTCCTTTGGGCATAAGGAATAAGTATGCAAAGTTTCAAGATGATACATTAAGAAATGCGGTCTGTAGGCAACAAACAAATACAAGAAATGGATCTGGCTCTGCCCCTAGGGGTCGGGCATGTACCAAAAGCAATAGGGATCATCCTTAGGGTTAAAGGAATAAGTATGTAAAGTTTCAAGATGATCAGTTAAGAATTGCGGCCCATGGGCGTACCACAGACACACAAAGAGACAGGGGCGACAGAAATATACGTCCACATTATAATGTGGACGTATAAAAATCTATAGTTACATGATACTTACCAAAGATTTTCTCCGTGATTGACGAGTGAGCTGACCATCGGGACTGAGCGACAAACTTTGTCGAGCTAGAAAATTCTCCGGAAGACGTATATCAGCTGGCAACGACAGTCTTTTAGTTACTTCCTGAAATTATAAAATACAAGCACTTTATCAATTTTAGTAAAATTAAAATACAGATTTCTGGGTTATTTGCACTTGCCATGTTTCTCAGAATGACAAAAAATAATGGAAATAATAAGAATAACTCTTTAATGGAACCAAATTTTCATGTTTAAAATCATAATTGGAATGGTCAAAATACTGACATTAATTTTGATTTTTGGTATTTTTAATACATAAATGTATTTCATCATGTAATTATGAATATTCAAACTAAAATAATTGACTTATAATAATCCACACTAGTTTATTTTCATAAGCGTTCACAAGATTCAACAAAGTTAATCAAGGGCCATAACTCCAGATGTAATTAACAGAAATTTACTGAAACTCAATAGGCTTGTTCCTTTTACTAATTTAAACGATACATATAAATTTCATACAGATGGGATAATAACTTTTGTCGTTTGAGCATTTACATGGTACAACAAAGTGAAACAAGAGCCATAACTCAAAGCATAATTAACGGAAATTGCTGAAATTCAATAGGCTTCTTCGTTTCACTAATTTAAATGATGGATATCAATTTCAAACAGATCGGATAATAACTGTTTTCATTAGAGTAGGTATAGGCAAGCAAATTTTTAAAGTGAATAAAAACACATAATTGCGGTATCAATAGTTTCATTTTGCTAAGATAAAAACATCCTGAAAATTTCAACTGATTATCTCTAGTAGTTTGTGAAATATGGCCAGTTACAGGATTTGGGGTACCCACCAACTTCGGACATAGCAAAAATAAGTGGTTTTGACCCCCCATATATCAAAAAGTAAGCTTTTTACACGACTGCAACTTTTTTAACATAGAGTACCTACAGCCTAGTTGGAATAAATGCAAGGAAATGCCTGTGTCTTCACTACTGTTGAAACTGTTGACCCTTTAAAATGACAATTTTTTAGCCACTGCCCATGACAAAATCTGCTTCTGGAGCCATTTGACCCCTCCATAAAATTAATTCTAAGTACACCGCAGGTTTTTCCTTCCACATATCAGCTGACAATGGCCCCCATAGTAACCCTAATTCTTTTGACAGCCTTGAAAAGGCCCTAAAGAAAGATATCTGACACAGAAAATGGTCCCAGCCACTGTTTTGTATCACATCACCATTACAGAAATGGATAATATATTTTTGTGTATTTGAGAACTAAAATAAATAATTTCAAAATCCATGCGGTCTTTATTGTATTCATACTAAATTTATCACAGAAACATTTATAAATTCAATTCAAAGTGTGAAAAGAAATATTGTCGAAGCCATGTGGTAAAATTTACATATTTATGAGCCTTTCCACCAATCAGGTATGTATATTTCGTCGACTTAGGCACGTGACAAAATATACATACCTGATTGGTGGAAAAGTAAACAGAAAGTAACTCAAGTCACAGGTCGAAAATGAAAACTACCCGTTACTGTTAAAAGACGTTTTCTAAATTCATGAAGACGATAGATAATTCAGAATCCTAGCTTCGCTGAATATGTATTCATATATCTAGCTGACTATGTTGCCAGAATGCTTGAATTCAGCCGTGAAAAAAATTAAAACCAGTGTTTTAACCGAGTGCTTTGTTCGTTTGATATATTTTTAAATTACACATCGTCAGAACACACCAAATATAAATATATGGGGAATAGTTTACGGATATGCTTTACATAGTCTTATTCTTAATACGTTTATCAATAAAATCATGATTTACTTACATATTTCTGCAATTAGAGGGGCCGGAATGTTAAAAACCTAACAGCTATTTGACCAATGACGTCACTAGCGTACGGCAGTTTGCATGCTCTTGGCTTGCGCTACCTTGGAACAACAGGCGCCGGAGAAAACGGAAAAAATATAAAATCTAAAGATCATAACGAACATTTTTGTACCTAGTTTTTCTGTATTATTTTGATGGGTTCTATGCTTATTTTGCTGCTAAATTTGAGGTTTTATAAACTACTTATAATTTTCGATTTTTTTGGCATCCAACGGGCCGGACAATGTGGTATGTGGTAAAAGCTCTACGGACATGCTAGAATATGGTAGCCAGTACATTTTTCATTGAGAATTTGCAAGAGAGCGCTTTACGAAACTATAGAACCCATGCTTTGCAAAAAACCAAAGTTGACATGGATTACGGCCATTGCGGCTGAAACGAGTCATTTAAAATTCCCTTTTTTTACTGTTTCTCTTGCAATAAATATATAAATAGTGTATCAGTGATAAAGAGAAAAAAAAGACGATTGCAAAGGTGTAATTTATTTCAAAATTGATACGATAGTTATTTAGTGACGATCATGGAAATATGACCATGTTTTCTACTAATTATTGACAATGTCACACATTCCAGCGCTTTGTCTTAGCCGTTGCCTATACCTAATTAGAGCATTCACAATATTCAACAAAGTGAAACAAGGGCCATAACTCTAAATGTAATTAACGGAAATTGCTGAAATTCAATAGGCTTCTTTGTTTTACTAATTTAAATGATGCATATAAATTTCATACAGATCGGTTGATAACTTTTGTCGTTAAAGCGTTCACAAGGTGCAACAAGTGAAACAAGGGCCAAAACTCCAGAAGAAATTAACGGAAGTTATTGAAATTAAATAGGCTTCTTCATCTCACTAATGCAAACAACATATATCAATTTCAAAACAATCAGATGATAAATCTAGTCTGTAGAGTGTTCACAATAAATTGTGGACGATGGACAGACGGACGGACGGACTGACCGTATAAAAAATACACTAAAGTCTGGTCAGATATATATATCCACAGCCAACTGATAGAAATCTCACTTCTGCTTAAGTATAAGTGTTGCATATAAAAACTAGATAATCTTAAGTTATATTATAGCTAATAGTAGATGAAATATATTATTGTTAATTTTTTTTTTCGTTTTAACTCCTGATGTCAACTAGCAGACTATCGCCCTTCAGGAGACGACCACCATCAAGTCTGTATCATTACAGATCAAGGACTATACAGTGAGCATTCCCCCAGATCCATTCACTTGATTTGATATTTGATTTGATATTATTGCTTGCAATGTCTGTGTACAGTAGAATCTGTATGAGCAGCCACTCCTATTCAGCGACATTCCCCCCGTAAAAATTCTGTTGTTTCATCTCTTTATTCAACAGTCACTCCTCTAACGCGGCCAGCGGTCACTATTTTACTTATAAATTCAACAAAACATCGCCCATTCAACGACCATCTTGTCGTTCTTTGTAACACCCCCGCTAATCCCGTGAGTTGTAGTTAATTAACTGGACCCCCACTGAGCGACAGGTAAAAAGAAATGTAAAAATAACAATCAACCCGGGATTATATATTAATTAATCTTTTGTTTTATTAAACAACTAACCTGATCATTGTTTTCACTCGTAACCACACATTATTAGATACTGATTGAATAAAATAAAAGTACCGAGTTTTGTCACGATCATATAGTATCTTTATTGTTAAACAGACGTTTTAGCGCCTCCTATAATATTACATACAGAGTTACACCCCCTGTAAATAGGAGATAAAATTAGCGATGTTTTTTTGTTCATGTGCTTTTGTTCAGGGATTAATATTATCGAATGCATCAAAATGGTAGACAGTAGTATCGAAGGTTGGTACAAAATGACAAGTTTACAGAAGTTATGTCCGAGATTTGATTAAAGAATTTACGTTCGGCGCAAGATTCAGCGACGGTCAAATTTACCGCTTCCAATGCATTCAAGCGTAATATTTAATTAATAAATTAAACAAGACTTACCTTGGTCAAGTCGATGTTTGATTGGAATTTTACGAGTTGTACAAACACTGAAGGGATTAAATGAGATAGTGATGCGCATGCGGTAACTTCAGACTTTACAGAAAGTTTTATCATTATTCAAACTAACAACGAAATACCAACACTGTAACCGTAGAGAGGGAGGGAGGGTGTGGCATTTAATCCCTTCAGTGTTTGTACAACTCATAAAATTCCAATCAAACATCGACTTGACCAAGGTAAGTCTCGTTTAATTTATTAATTTTATTTCATTGTAACACTTCCGGGATCAAATGAGACTTTAAAGCAATAATGATAAAACTCTAATCCATTATAAACCCACACAAATTGAAAGTTTATATACATTATGCCACAAGTCTTACCTGTCTAGTCTTTAAGAATTTGATATGCAAATGATTCTTCATCTCTGTCTACCTTCTTATCGTAAAATCTGGCAAAAGTATTTACGTTTGACCATCCAGCTTTGCTTAGAATCTTCGACACCGGCATGGAGTTCTCCTTTGCTTTGGATGCAGATGCTACTCTAACACTGTGAGCTTTATATATAGCGATGTCGATTTTTGCTCTAGCTAGTACTGTTTTAATCCAGCGTAAAATAGTGTCTTTTGAAACTGGCTGATAAGGTTTCACATAACTAACAAACAGTTTGCTGTGATTTTTCCTTAAATTATTCGTACGCAAAATATATTCTTTATAAACAGTATAAACACACAATCTCCTGTCTGGAGGATAAGCCTTAATATTTATAGATGGCTCTTCATAGCCAGGCCGGCTTTGTTTGATGAGTTCTTTAATAACAAAAACATATTCCCCTTTTAACTTATATACACTATTTACATTGATCAAAAAAATTGACTGACAACGAGCTGCATTTGTTAATGCTACTAACATCACCAGTTTTAAGGTCAAATCTTTTAATGATAGATATTTCACTGGCGAAAGTTTGCGCAAGTAGTCCAGAACTTTCTTTACATCCCAAATTTTCTGATATCGCGGCCTAGACGGCCGAATATTAAATATGCCCTTCATAAAACGAATAACCAAGGGATGTTGACCTATAGATATTTTATCTACTGATATTCCTAATGCAGAAAGTGCTCCTCGAGCCGTATTTAGACTGCTGTAACAGTTCTGTCAAATAATCTAAAAACGGTTTTATAGAATTCTGAATGTAATTAATTTGTTTTTCACG